GATTCATCAACATTATGTACTTTATTGCATTCCTCGGTTGGCTTAACATTGTCTGCATCAGTATGATCCATGCAAAAATTTTGTTGTGCAATTTCAGTGGTCCCAACAGGAGTTGATGGAGATGTATGTAAGTAAAGGTTCATTGAACAACATGTTTCAGTGGTGCTTTCAATAGGATGTGGTATTGGTAGTGGTGGTAGTTGAAGGGTGGGTACAACATTAAATTTGCAGGACATATTCAGGTATGTACAATAACTACAGAATTCAATAACTTTAAAGTAATATGTAAAATTACAATGTAGGTGGTAAAATTAGACTATTTTAATGACAAATGATATAATGTAATAGGTAAATTGACAATGTAACCAGTAAACATATACCGTTTAATTATAAAACAGGTTAACATAAAGTATCGACACTATTAGATTTTGTGTCGATAAATATAATGTAATAGGTAAATTTCTAATGTAACCGGTAGAAATATACCGGGTTCATGAGAGAATAGGTCAACATAAAGTATCGACACTTTGTTTAATTTGTGTCGATACATTTTTTCAAAATGAATAGCAAACGAGGTGTACGCATAAAGTGTCGATACATTTTTAAAAAGTATCGATCCTCGAAACATCGAAATCGATAATTATTATATAACAGGTAAATTTACAATGTAACCGGTTAAAATATACCAGTTAATTAGAAAATAGGTCTACATTATGTATCGACACTCTTTAAATATGTGTCGATACTTTTTTCCAAAATAAAGCACAAACGAGTTGCACGCATAAAGTGTCGATACATTTAAAATTGTATCGATCCTGAAAACATCGAAACCGATATTTATAATGTAATAGGTCAATTTATAATGTAATTGGTTTAAATTTACCCTTTTTATGAGAAAATATGTCAATATAAGCGCTACTTATTACATTATATAAGCGCTACTTATTACATTATATAAGCGCTACCTAATTTGTTATTGTACTTGATAATATTTTCGGTTAAATACCTATTTTATTATATAAGCGCAACCTATTACATTATCTAAGCACTACCTAATATGTTATTGTGCTTGATAATATTTTCAGTTAAATGATATAACATAACCGGTCTAAATTTTAACCGATCACGCCATTTTTAACCGTTTTTTAAGTGCCTCACACCAGAAGTTCCCTATTTCACCTTTGTTTTTTTTGACCGACCCCGAGGGTTTTGTTAAATCAATTACAAAGAAAGTCCACTATGACAATGAGGTTTTTGTTTTCATTTTATTTTGGTACGGGGTTTGTTGAATTAATAAATGAACCTTTATATTGGCAGTAGAGTTAAAAGTTTGGGTAAACTATGTTATACGTCATTGAACTTTAAGGTTAGTTACAATAAACCAAAAGTTGATATTGTTTTAGTATTAAATTTTTAATTTGGTTTAATGTAAGTTCAAATTGTTAAACTCATACAATGTAATGACGTGGATGAATTTTTTTTCGTCATTGAATATAAATTTACTGACCCACACAGGTCACCAACCCTCTTTTGAACTAAATTTAAAACTGTCGCCTCTTTACCATTATCATTATTGTCTTTGCGACTTTTTATGACAATTAGTGGCATTGAGAATATTCTTCCATCATCACCGTCACCTCCGTTTAAATCATTAAGTCATTGTAATTTTTTTTTTTTACAATCACACAAACAACCATTAGCTCTCAACCACTCGAGCCACCATCGAACTAAACTCCCATAACCCTTCACCTATAATCATAATCATAATTGTCATCATTCTCACTAAACAATTATAGATTAATATGAATTAAGTTATCTTAGTGGTTAAAGAGATTGTTGTTATCCTATAGGTCCCGAATTCAAACACTAATGATTATACATGATATTTAAGCGTTCATTGTTAAATTTTTGAAAGTCTTTAAAATAAATATTATCACTTATAATAACTTTAAATTCATAAAAAAAAACCAAAGATATACTTTAGCATAAATTCAACAATCTCACAACTTTCCAAAAGTTATATGTTCCTTTAACCAATAAGTAATACCAAAATCAAAATACAATCAAATTTGACCCCAAACTTGCCCACGCAACAACCAAGTAAAATCAAAATCTAGAAGAAAAAAAAAGTTAGAATAAAAAGAGAAATATAAACAATTATGTTAGCTCTAATGAACAATCGAAAAATGGCAAGAGAGGGTAAATTGACATTTTTTAAATTTTGGTGGAAGCAATCGAAAAATAAAAATTTTGCACAACGATTTAGAGTGGTTCGACTTCTAAATTAAATCTACATCCACTATCTTACCTATCCACACTAAGGATTTCTCAACTCCACTAGATTTGCAAACCTTTAAGGATAAGGTGTAACCTTACAAAGACACACAACGTTTATACCTCAAAACCTTGTTTACAAACTTTCCCAAAGAGAAATTACAAACTTAGCAAACAAAAGAAAACTTCACAAACGCAAATGAGTTTGCAACTAATTAAACACACACCCAAATTACACTTGAGCAAGAATAAACAAGAAGCTCACAAGTGTATTTACAAAGAATTTGACAATTTAGCACTAAAAACTTTTTTGATGTTGAAATGATCTTGCAATTAACTTTCTTGTTGCTCTCCATTTGAATCTTGGTCTATTTTATGTCTTCTAACATCAATCTAGCTGTTTGGAGTCATTGAGGATTGAATAGATCCGTTAGATTCATTAATTTTGAGCATTTAATGCTTACATGGACATTTGATAGCGAGACTGAGCCTTCCAACTGTCAAATTTATAGCTGTTAAACCTTTAGTATCAATATTGCATGAATCTGTATCGATACCTACCATTCGGTCTCAAGACTGGGACCTTGGTATTGATACCAAAAACCCTTCTGGAATATTGGTATCGAGACTGCTTGAGTGGTCTCGATACTGACAGTTGATTTGACAAAAATTAAGTGTTTTGAGCTTAAAAAATAATGTTTATAAAAAGCGGATTAACTCAAAAACACTTGAATTATTTTTAACACTTAAAAATACTTTAAAATTGTTTATGACATTATTTATAAATATTGTGAAATAACAAATTTTAACAATTTAAAATATTATAATAATCATGTTATATCAAAATCAAAATTTAGTTCAATAATCTCCCCTTTTTGATACAATAAAACTTTTGTGAAAAATTAATTTTAAAAGATTTTTCATATTTTGTGAAAAATAAGTCTCCTTAGAAAACTAATTTATGGCTATCAAATTTACACGTATACATATTTCTCCCCTTTTTATATTATAGCAAAATCAAATTAAACTTCAAAATATAAAATATGTTAGTGTAATAGGGAACTCAAATATTCAACATAAAATAATCAAAAGTCAAATTATGTTTATCATAAAATAATCAAGTTTAAAAGCATAATATCAACATCAATAATTCAAACATCAATCCATAAAGTATCAACAATAAGTATCAAACCTAAGGTAACATAAAGTTCCAAAATAAGTCATAAAGTGCATAAGTCCAAATCAAAATGCAAATGTCCTAAAATGTCAAATAAATGCCTAATCTTCCGGAGGCGGTGGCGAAGGAGAATGAGGCAACAAGTAATGATCCATGGAAGCCATATTAACACGTAAGTCCCTGAAGTTTCTCTTTCTGCCTAGTTGTCCTGGCAGTGGTTCCCTTGCGCCGTGTATCTATTTTGATTTCTGTACGACCTATAATGTTGAAAAATGCCTTTCGGCTTTCAGGAGAGGTGGTAAGGTTACCTAAAGGTGCTTCGCTGCCAGTAACACTCAAGGTTCTCGAGCATGAATTGTTCCACTTCTGTCCGATCAAGGCTAGTTTCTTCCCTTCCTTTTAGGCTACTTCTCGTAACTCGACTATGGTGGCTTATTGAATGCATTTTTCTATGGTGCAGCATATTATCAACAACATTTCATTTGCACCAATCGGCCTTCTCAACATGTTCAACAGCAGCGGTGCAATGGATCAGTACGAAGTGCAAACAACAACATCTGCCGAGAAATCCCAGTTCTTCGATGGCGAGGTTTCCTCAGAGTTGACATCATCTCTCAGCAACAACTGGTGTCCAACCACGAGGATCAGCCTAGAATCAGGGGTTGTGGGAGGTTCGGTGCTTACTCATCACACGTCCGTTGAAGTGCAGCATATTTAGACTCGAATCCCTACGAGCAGTCTGTACATCTCCTCCGATGGGACCGGCAGAGTTGGTGTTACCAATCCAGTGGCTGGGTTATGGATGTATCTCGACGGACATTGAAAGGAAGAAAAGAATGCCTCAAAATTTTATTACCAATAAAAAACCAGACCTAAAAAACCAATGAACCCATTACAAAATTACACCGAAAGCGCAATACATCAATCCGCCATCTTTAACCAATTCTAGATATAGCTAAGCTGCTCCACAACTAAAGCAGCAACCTCCTTCACCAATGTGGTAAACAGGGGCGAGCAAGATCCAGGCTCCTTAATCCAATTTGGTAAACATGCATCGTAACATGGATGACTTTTGTTAATAACTTAAATTTAACTAGAATCATCTTTTCATTTTAAAATTGAATATTATTCATTTAAATATAATAATTTATATTTCAAAAACATGGTTTGTTAGACATCAACATTTCAATTTTATGTCACTTTCAATTTATAATATATAATTTAAAATTTAAATTTGTAATGTCAAACCATGAGAAAGAAAACAATTACCTCGATCAGATAATTTATGGATGAACGAGTTCATTTATCAAAATAAAAATAACTACATGACATTATTGCATTGTTACGCTTTTACTAGTAAAAGTTGTTAAAAACAAATGGAATGTGCAAGTTTTTACAGGATGAAGAGGCTTAGCACACACTGAATTCAACGAATTCTATAAAGTTAAGATTCATTTCACGAGGAAGTCTTGTGCATAAAGAAAATGACAGCTGAAAATTCCAAATGCAGAGATCGTCCAGAAACATCCACAACAAAACGCAAAATTACTAAAAGCCAAAGCAAATTCGTTATTATAGGTCTAATAGAAGTAAGCCATTATGGCCAACCAGATTTAAAGCTGAAACAGCCATCACACAAGCAACCCATTCAAATCTGAAAACCAAACATATAGCTATAGTTCAAACAAGCTTAGACATCATTTAAAGGCCGAAAAGGCCACCTACAAACACAGACCATCCTTACTTAGAAACCACCGCGAAGGCGAAGGACAAGATGCAGAGTGGACTCCTTCTGTATGTTGTAATCTGCAAGAGTTCTCCCATCCTCCAGCTGCTTTCCAGCAAAAATCAACCTCTGCTGATCTGGTGGGATTCCTTCCTTGTCTTGAATCTTTTCCTTAACATTGTCTATGGTGTCTGAACTTTCAACCTCCAATGTTATTGTCTTCCCGGTTAAGGTCTTTACAAAGATCTGCATCCCACCACGCAAGCGTAACACCAAGTGAAGGGTTGACTCCTTTTGGATATTATAGTCTGCCAATGTCCTCCCATCTTCAAGCTGCTTGCCGGCAAAGATGAGCCTTTGCTGGTCTGGGGGAATACCCTCCTTGTCTTGGATCTTTGCCTTCACGTTGTCAATCGTGTCTGAACTTTCGACCTCCAAAGTGATGGTTTTCCCGGTAAGAGTCTTTACAAAGATCTGCATACCACCACGCAGGCGCAACACCAAGTGAAGAGTCGACTCCTTTTGGATATTATAGTCAGCCAACGTCCTTCCATCTTCAAGTTGCTTGCCAGCAAAAATGAGTCTTTGCTGGTCTGGGGGGATACCCTCCTTATCTTGGATCTTTGCCTTCACGTTGTCAATTGTGTCTGAGCTTTCAACTTCCAAAGTGATGGTCTTTCCAGTAAGAGTCTTCACAAAGATCTGCATACCACCACGAAGGCGGAGAACCAGATGGAGAGTAGACTCCTTTTGGATGTTATAATCAGCAAGAGTTCTTCCATCTTCAAGCTGTTTTCCTGCAAAAATCAATCTTTGTTGGTCTGATGAGATTCCTTCTTTGTCCTGAATTTTGGCTTTCACATTATCAATGGTATCCGAACTCTCGACCTCCAATGTAATTGTCTTTCCGGTGAGAGTCTTGACAAAGATTTGCATGCCACCACGAAGACGAAGCACTAAGTGGAGGGTGGACTCCTTCTGGATGTTATAGTCAGCCAGTGTCCGACCATCTTCAAGCTGCTTTCCAGCAAAGATAAGCCTCTGTTGGTCTGGAGGGATTCCTTCTTTGTCTTGGATCTTAGCCTTGACATTATCAATAGTGTCAGAGCTTTCAACCTCCAAGGTGATCGTCTTTCCAGTCAGAGTCTTGACAAAGATTTGCATACCACCTCGAAGTCTAAGCACCAGGTGGAGCGTGGACTCTTTCTGGATGTTGTAGTCAGCCAGTGAGCGGCCATCTTCAAGTTGCTTGCCAGCAAAAATAAGCCTCTGTTGGTCTGGTGGTATTCCTTCCTTGTCTTGGATCTTTGCCTTCACATTGTCAATGGTGTCCGAACTCTCCACCTCAAGGGTGATGGTCTTGCCAGTGAGGGTTTTAACAAAGATTTGCATCTATTAAATCAAAGGATCAAAAGAAATTAGTATCTCAACAGTTCACAATATTAGGTAAAATCAAACAGAAACAAACCATAAATAAGAATCTAAGAACGTGAATTATAAACCATCCATTATATTAGGGAATTTAGAATTAAGAAAAGGAATTCCGCAAGACAATCAAAAAGCCCCCTATTTAATAAGGAAAACAAGATATTTAAAATTCTTAAACTGAGATAGGAATACTACATATCAAAACTCTAAACAAACCTAACCAGCATAAATAAATTAAATTAAATTTCCAAGAACACATAGTCCACAAATTTGAAAATTTTACATGTTTACAACTGAATCTAGACAAACAAAGTTGATTCATTAAGAGATCTATCAATAATTTTAACTATCCTCATTTCAGGCAACACATTCAAGATGATATGACTAACAAACAAGTTTTGCTTTATCAAAAATATACAAAATCGAATCAGTAATATTAAAGAAATTAAGACTTTAAATTCGTCAAGAGATCCGCCAATCATTTCACCATATCCTCAATTCAGGCTAACATATTCAAGATAATACGATTAACAAACAAGATTCGATTAATTAAAAGTGATAAATCCAAAATTCATAGAAGCCATTAAACTATCGAAAGATGGAACAGAATTTAAAGCAACTATGATTGAAAATTCCCAATAAATTAACAAGCCTCTTTTCAGGTATAATATTGAAGATAATACGATGAAAAAACAAGATTCTCTTGATTAAAATATAAAAAATAAAATCCATAACTAATGAAAAAAAAACCGATTACCTTGAAAACCTAATTGGAAAAAAGCTTTGAAGCGTTGAGAATGGAATTGTCTGCCGATCGAGGAAAACTAAAGTGGCTAGGGTTGGGAGATTTACGCCTTTTTTTATAGATGGGATTTGCCCACTTCGTGACGATATTGTCAAAAATACAACCTATCTGTTCCTGCCACGTGTACTTCAAACCCGAATCCCGCGCTCAATTTTTTTGTTTGTTTGTATAAAATAGATAACATAAATAGCAAAAGCTTAAATATAGGCATTTATCTATATTTTTATGCTTTATATAGCATCCTTAGAGGTGTATTTATATCTATCTATATTTAAATTTGTGATTTAATTTGTAATTACAATAATGATTAAAAGAATGATTATTATTCTTAAATGTCACAGGTTTAAACGACTGAGTGACTGAAGTATTTAGAACATATACTATTTTATAATTACTTAACTTAATAAAAAAATAATAGTTTAAAAATTTCAAAGATAATTAATATTATTATAATTTTATGTTTATTTTTTATATTTATCTGATTAAAAATATATATTTAAATTATACTTTTTAGGTGTTTACTATTTTTATCAAAATAAACTACTAATGTTTCATAATTTCATTCCATTGTTTGTTTTAAGGTTGATATGTTACAAATGATTAAAAAAATCTTTTAATCGATGAATGCCTGACACGTGGTACATTTTAAATGATCAACACTATATATTAAAAATAAAATTAAATGGATAATTTAATTAAAAAAATCAATCCTATTCTTTTTCTCAACAAATAATCCTCCCTAAACTATTTTAATATCATTGTCGATTCAAATATTTTTAAACTTGGTTATATTTACTGAAATTATTTTTAGTTTACTATTACACTGGTTTAAATTATTAAAATTTTATGATTAAATCAGGTGTATTTTTTTAAAAAGGGTATAGTTGACTTCTAATGTTGCACTGATACGGGTACGGGGATGAAGACGAAAAACGACAATTTCTAAAATTACAGTGTACGGGATGGCAATGGTATGCCATATAAAATATTTTTTGATTAAGTTAAGGTGATTACAAAGTAGTATTTATTCTAAATATTCTCAACCATTTGACAATGAACGCTCAATCACCCTGCTTATAGGAACAATGATGATTCGTTTAATTATTGAGGTAAGTTGGTTCACGCATGCCATATAAAAAATTTAAAATTATAAATAGATGTAAGAAATCATAAATAAAGTCAAGAATACATAGAAAATTTGTGTAACACTCTAATCTAACCCTAATTAAAATCCTAACATTTGATACTTTTTCCAAATCCCTAAATTAATTTTAGTGGCTAATTCGAAAATATTGTAAAAATTATTTCCATATTCGAAAGCCCTAGAAAGCTCAGTGATTAACTGACAATTATACCAAATATTCTTTAAATTCTATTCTACCTCTTCTTCCTACCCGCGGCCGCTTCTTCTTCCTTTCCTTTCTTTTCCATATTCGACAGAACCGATTGGAGGCAATTCCGGTGAAAGGGTTGTGTAAGTTTTTCCAGGAGACAGGGTCGGAGATGCTTTAATGGAGAGCTTGTGAGAGCCTTGACATGTTTTAAGAGAGCCATTGTTGAAAGCGAAGTATAAGAAACCAGGGCGAGAAGGGTGTCGCTGCAAATGGTGTAAACAAAAACGACACCGCTTTGGCCCGCCGTCCCCATGAAGCAAAGCTGCCAAACTCACAACGTTCAAACCACCGTCATCCTATAAATCCTCTCTCTTTTATCAAACACCCCACTCCCTTCCCTCTTCGTCTCAGCAAACCCACCGTCGAACACCATCCCGATACTCGCCAAAATTACCACTGAGGACATCTTCGAAACGTCAGATAAGATTGACCGTCTTCGAATTAGATCAATCATACTCTACCACCTGACATGTCTTCAATACGTAACCCAGCTGTCCCCGTACTCATAAAAAACGTATCATGTACTTGAAACGGATTCTTTTCCGTCCTCGTGCTTCTTAAGTTGACTTTCTTAGATATAATTAAATATTCCTTTCATAATAATTTAATTATAATATAATTAAAAAGTTACACATATAATAGACAAGCAATCTTATAACTGTTGAAATTCAAATTCGAAAGGATTTATTTGATATGTATATGATGTATCAACTAATTAATTGTTAGCTAACTTTGAATAAAAATTTTAATGCGATGACCCATAAAGCATGGGGCTAATGGTGAAGTAAAATCATTTGTATAACTTGTTTTTGGATAACATTCCTTTTATATAAAATTTAGGTAAAGGGGTAGATGAAATCTTTGTACTTATTTTTAAAAAATTAATGTGAATTTCGAATTATTTTTATTCTTAATGCCATCCTCAAATTTAGAAAAATCTAATATGTCCCTTTGACTAACGTTTTCCTTCGTTGATTGTTATGGTACAGACGTAACACTTCATAGTGCTGACATGACAGTTTATAGTGGTTGTTACATGGATAATGACGTTAGGGGTGTGCAAATCCGGGTACCCGATTTTTGGGTACCCGGAACTTCGGGTCGGTGATTTATCGGTCCGTGTCCCGACCCGGATGTTACCGGTACCCGATAATTGGGTACTCGATACCCGTTTTTCTTTATTTTTCATTTTCAAATTATTAATTTTAAAAAAATATACACAAATTTAAATGTTCGAAACTTCGAATTACATAATGTAATATCCGAACATAAAATTTAAAAGTTTGAAATACAAAATCTAATAATCTATAATATAAACAATTCATTATATATTATATTATATTATATATATATATAAAATAAAAACTAATCGGGTACCCGGAAAAACTAGATTTTGTGACCCAGGCCCGACCCGGGAAATGTCGGGCCAGGTACCCGACACGGTCGGATAATTTTTTTTAGGTTCGGGTCGGCGGATCGTGTCAACCGGGTCGGATAGTTTTGCACACCCCTAAATGTCGTGACATATGAGCTAAATTATTTTTTATTGAGTTCGTGTTTTTTAAGTTTAGAGATTTATTTCATTTTTTAAATATTTTAAATTTAAAATTTAAACTATACAAATATACAAAAAAATAAACATAAAAATACTAAAAATAAAAATTAAATTACTAAAAATTAAAAAAAATATTAACTAGGGTGATTAAAAATATTAATGTTAAATAATTTATTAAATTTAGAGGCGGGTTCTAATGTGAGTTTTATTTTGTTTAGTAATATAATTATACTATTATGGTTGTACATGTCAATTTTAATGAGAACTTTATTTTATTTTTATTTTGTAGAGACAAATTTTCTATACCTTAAAAAAATAAATATTAGGGATGATAGAAAAACCTCAAACACGTGGAGTTTATATGCACGTTGACTTTAATAGAGTTGTTTTAAATAGAAATTGATAGGGTAGGGTAATTTTCTATTAATTTTTTTGAGATCGTGTTTAGATGAAGTTTACTTTTTCTTATTATGGTATATTTACTAAAATGTTATTCTTAATTGTATAACTATTTTTTAATATTTTTTAATTATATAATTTCATGATAATTCATCCAGTTATTATGTTTATTTAATTCAATGTTATAAAAAACTAGAGATAAAAAAGGTTAGGTTTATAAAAAAATAAAATTTGTGCAAGATGGACTGTTTATATAAATAAAATCAAGTTAAATTTGAATTAAATAATAATAATATAAAAGTTTAATATTTTAATAATTTAATTTTTGTTTTTGGTATTTTATATATATATTTTTTGAATATTTTTACATTTTAAATTTAGAATATTTTATTTTTCTAAAAAATCAAATAAGGCAATGAATTTTAAAAAAAATCAATTTGATCATTGAACTTTACAAAAAAATTAATTTAATCCATTTGTTATGTTATCAGCAACATCATCAATCATTATGGATGCCACGTCAGCATTGTAGATCACTATGTCAACATTATGAATTATCATGTCAATATCGTAATGATCAACGACGAAAATTATTAGTCAAAGGATCACGTTAGACATTCTTTTTCTAAATTTAAGAGCTACATTAGGTGCAAAAATTATTCGATGGCCACGTTAATTTTTCTTTTTTAAACTACAAGGGTATCAAGTACCTTTTTGCCTAAAATTTAACCCGACTTACAGCACGGAGGCAGCATAAATGCATTCACAGCTTCTGAGATGACCAACTATTACTTTGATGTCATCACTGATTGCTTTGAAGAAGCTCTGGACCGGTAGATGTTTGTGCAATCTTTCTTTGGATGTTATTTTCATCGATGTTCTTGTAATTTACGTGAGATTGTGTATTTTCGTGTCAGTTGCTCTTTAGGTTTGCACAGTTCTTCATCAAACCATTAATGTCAGCTGATGCTACCACGAGGTAAATTAAAGCTGTTGATTCTGGTTATCTCTTTGGTTCTTGGTTTATTTTAACACATGGATTTCCTCTACTTTAATCCATAATTAATCAACACAATCTTTTCCTTTTCTAGAGAACCAGAAAAACTTATTGTCTGATGTGTGGAGAATGAGCCAGGTATTATTTGCTTATTGTTGAATCAGTCCGTCTACTGAAAGATTGCAAAATCTAGCTCTGAACTAATTTAAAATGTTAATAATTTTTCCTTTATTGTTATTAGTTTTTCTGGAAGAAATGGATCCTAGAATTAGTCCCCCATCTCCCAAATCCCAATTGCAACTTCATTATTTTATAATTGCACCCCCGTCAATTCCTTTTATGGTGGTCATTGTTATCACTTTTGCTTTAGTGATTAAAACCAAAGCCCAAAATCTATTGTCTTTCATAAGAACATCTTGTAATGTTCTCTATAAATCACGTAGAAAATTCCATTTTCTGCATGTGCTTGTCATGTTTAGGTTCTCATACTAATTTAGTGTTTGGCTGGACTTTTCACATGGAAGCAAGTCACTTACTAACGACTAATGTGATTAGTTCCTCAAAGTGGTGAACTGAGCTTATGTTGGGAAGTGTTGTCTCATCCTTTGATGTTGATAGACGAGGATGATTGAATTACGACGTCATTAAGGACTGTTAATCAATTGCTTCTTCAGGTCCTGTTGAGGGCTTATGGTGTGCATGGTTATTGTGGTTCCATTGCTATTTTCCTTAATAAGCGAAAGATATCTGTGATTATTAAACACACTGGGTTGCTGTTTGTATTTTAGCGGTTTTCGTGAATCGCCATGCAATTTAGTCATCTCAATTGGTTGATTTATACCATTAAAATAGGTTAATAATTGTTAGAGTAAGCACACTTTTAGAAGCTTCCCATCTTTGTGTTTCTTGAAAATAAATAAGAATTCTCTGGATTCTGCATAGTTGGTCAATTAACCTAGTGACATTGGAGATGAATTATCACAAAACTGAATGAAAAGGTCCATAATAAAAAACCATTTATCATGCTGATGACAACTAATTTAGCATTTATTTATATATATATTCACCCCCAAGACTTCTGTATGGATGTCTTTGATTCTGAGATGCTTTTACTTTTTTAAAAAGATGCTAAGGTTTTCTTTATCTTGCCTGGATTTCTTGGATGGATTAGATTTTAAGTTCTTAATTTAATTACCCTACTTACTTTTCGAGTATTCTCTTGTTTTTCAACATTCCTTCAGTATGAAAGGGTAGGATCTTGCACTGGATCTTAATTTTGAGATACAGATGTATATCTTTCTTTCTCAAACAATTTCTTTGGTTTTCTTCCTTTTTTGTTCTTTTATTCTGTTGGATGTCTCTGATATTTCCCCCTGATCTCTTCACAGTTTACTGGTCTTTCTTTCGGCGTGTTTTGAACTTGTAAAGAAAGAAATGACCTCTAGTCCATTTTCTTATGCCCATCACTTGTTCAGGTACAGGGAACTGGGATACTCTGGATGTTAACCAAAAGCAAAGGGAGTAGAACAAGGCAAGAACTCCTTAAATTCTATAAAGAGAAATATTCAGCCAACCTCATGCATCTGGTCGCGTATTCAAAAGGTTAGTAACTAAAATTACAGCAATTTAAATTTAAGTCTGGGGAGTTTGGTAAGAAGAAAAGTTGTTGCTATAGTTCTTCGAATCATCAAAATCACAATTTCTTTGTTCTATATTTCAGAAAGCCTTGATAAAATTCAGAGTCTGGCCGAGGACAAATTCCAGGAAATTCGAAACTATGATAGAAGTCATTTCCAGTTTCCCGGTCAGCCTTCACATCCGAACACCTTCAGGTATACGGTGCTGTTTATGTTGCCTATGTATTGTCTATGCGCTATGCTTGTCAAGTTTCGAGAAAAGAAAGCAAACCCCTTCCGCAAGGTTCAATATTCGAAAAGGGTATTTTTTTGGGCTCTTTTTCTGCTTATTTTTTCTTTTGAATTGTCAGATTCTTGTCAGAGCCGTTCCAATAAAGCAAGGCCACAAATTAAGGATTGTATGGCCAATCACTCCAAGCATTGTTCATTACAAAGAAGGGCCATGCAGGTATCTCGGTCATCTCATTGGCCATGAAGGAGAAGGATCTTTATTTCATGTCTGGAAAAAATTAGGTAGGTTGCACGTCACTATATGCTTTAGGTAATCCAGTTTGGACATATCTTAAAATTCTTGTCCCCCTATAATTCGGGATGCATCTTTTTAAAATCTACGTTAAATGTAGACATGTTTTACTTTTTGGTTCTCATATTCACAAAATACCAGTCCATGCATATCCGCGGGTGAGGTAGATATTAGAACAAGATACAGTTACAATATGAAAGAATACGAGTCATCTTAAAATGCCTTGAATGCAGGTAAAAGAACTCACTCAGAAAAAGTAGTCCTGTAAATAGGTTTGGACTCTGACACTAATTCCTAAGAAAGTCAATAACAAATATGGTATTACTTGGGATGAACAAAATTTAATTTGACTTGAAAAAAATTGAATTTCAAGTAACTTAATTGAGTTATTTGGTTTTTTGAATTGTTTGATTTTTCAAATCGAGTCGAGCTGGATATTGGTCCTTGACAACTCGAATAAACCGAATAACAAATTTATGTAAATTCCAGTTTGGTCCCTGACAGTTTTGAAATATGTATATTGGTCCCGGTCCTCCAATATTGGCAGAACTATTGGCTATTAAAAGGGGTTTGGAACTCTTCTTGGAGTCTCGGAGGGATTCAAAGGGGAGGCTTATATTAGAGTCCGATTGTTTAGTTGCGTTGGAGTGGATTAAAAATCCCGGTTCTTGCACTCCATTGTTTGAGTCTGTGGTGAAAGAAATTGTTAGTACTGTTATGAATAGGGGTGTTTTTGTTAGGCATATTAAGCGATCTGCAAATTATGAAGCGGATGAGTTTGCTAAGTTAGGGATTGGTTAATGTTGTGTTTTCTGGTATATGAATTGGTCATTAGTTTTGTGGATGTATTGTGGTTGTAATTGGTTGGCTAGGTACTCTTGATGTACTTGGTATTTTACTAATAAAATTTTGAGGTATTCCTTCCAATGTCCGTTGAGTTATTTTTGTAGTTTGACGGTTAAGAAGGTGGTCTATTTTGAGGTATTCTTTTCCTCCTTCCAATGTTACTAATTGATTAGTCCAACTTAGGATTCCGCAGGGATTTCTGCATTTGAGATAGAATATGAACGTTGGATGGAAGAACAAAATAAACACATATGTGAACTGAGGGCTACTGACGCTTCGCTCCCCACTGGAGCAAAATGGTGTGTTTTCATAGATAACCTGAGCAGAAGAGGGCCGAGAAGAGCTCTATGGGAGCGGTTTAAACACCACGGCAAGGTTACTAGAGTGTTTATTCCTTTCGTTAATAGGAGGCCAAGGTACAAAGATGCGAAATTCGTTTTTGTTCATTTCGAAGCTAAGGAGGATACGCTCAATGACATAGATAAGCTTAACAATGCTATGATTGATGGGAGAAGGATTTCTGTTGCGGTGGCGAAGTATCAGAAATGAGTTGCGCAGAAGAAAAAGGTGAAGGTTGATGGGGAAGCACCAAGGAGGGAAACAGGAGACCATCCAAGGAGATTAGAAGTTAGAACGGCATCTTTTAACAAGTTTTGTGTTGGAAGATCTTATAAAGAATCATTGACGGGAACGAGGGAGGATCAAGAGGGTGATGGAGAATGGAAGAAGAGAGGTGCTGGGGAGACAAAGAGTCCTCTGAATGTGTTCATGCTTGTGGAAAAGGGAGTGGATTAAGTTGTCATTGACAGGTATTCTCAAAGCCACAATTTAGAAGCTGCCTGTTCGCCAAATGCAGTACTTTTCTTACCATCCTAAGGAGTAAGGACCAAAAACCTTATGGATTTTGTGTGATCTGTGATAAAAAAAAATTGTTTGAGCGGCTTGTCTTCCCGTAAAATAAATAAAAATATGCAAGAATAGACTTCTGACATGTATCACTTGCTAACACATGCTATTGGATAAGGACTGGTAAATGTTTTTTGTTAAGCCTTTTTATTTAAGTTCAATTTATTGGTTCATCAATGGAGCACATGATTTAGAAACACTTTTTTTGGTTTATTAATACATTTGCTAATACCGTTATGCTTTGCCTTTGCATTCTTTTGTTTTACCAGGAAATGGTAATTAAAGACTATCAAAATTTCAAGTTCCGGCAACCCTATCAACAGGCTATGTATTATTGCTCATTAATACTCGAGGACCAAACATGGCCCTGGACGGAACAACTTGAAGTTTTGCCTCATCTTAATGCAGAAGACCTTGCAAAATTTGCTCCAATGATTCTCTCACGGGCCTTCCTAGAGTGTTACATTGCAGGTTTGCCATTTTTTTTCTTGCCTCTTCACTTCAGTTGCATTCTTTATGCATCTAGTTGTACTTGCTTGGTTTTAATATTCTATTTCTTTTGCTTTTACTTATTTCACTCATAGGAAACATTGAACATGAGGAAGCCGAATCAATGATTCAGCATGTTGAAGATGTGTTCTTTAAGGGTCCAAACGCAATATGCCAACTGCTGTTTCCATCTCAATTTCTAACAAATAGAGAGATCAAACTTGAAAAAGGCATGAATTACTGCTTCAGTAAGGAAGGCCTTAATCCAAGTGATGAGAATTCAGCCTTACTCCACTATATTCAGGTAATTGTGTTTGTCTGGAGAAATAAACTTTTTGGTGATCCCATCTTGAGTGAATTTTCATTCAGGAACCTCTTTATCATCTATAAAGACAATGATGTTAAGTTTTGAATCAATGCATAACATGCTGAAAAGTAACCAATTGATGCCATTTTCATTTAAGAAAGTATTTGCTCTAAATATTGGAGCTTTAGTTCAGACAACTCGTCCTGAAAGGACATGTCATTGATGTTTAGCTTATTCATGTTTCTGAAGATATTTTTCCTTGACCAATAGTTGAAATGTTGTATCACTCATTTATTTAACTCAACCTGCTATGACTTTGAACTTTCCAGAGACCATGTGCTGGGTACGGAAATTGAAAATCTTGTATGTTTCTCTATTGGCTCTTATGATGGTGCAAAGCTTCATGAACAAACTTCTTGATGTATGTCAGTACAACCCTAAAACTCTGAAAGGAACATATTTGTGTTGAATAAGAAAATATATATTTGTATATGGAAGCAACATTGGTTTTTCTAAAAAAACATTGCATTAACATGTGGAGGATATGCTTTAGGCCTATAATTATGGGAAATACTTTTGGTCTCTACTGCTGATTCTGGGATATCTAGGGGACAAGCACATGGTCTTTCCATTAATCAGATGCCAACATAGTTATTATTTATTTATTACAACTTTCTAGAACCTCTAACTGTAAGGCTCTGGTTTTCAAACATCTGAGGAATGCTCTGGTTACGCCAACTTATCTCTAAATATGTAAAATGCTTTTCTTCCTTTTCCTTTTTTTGGCAAATGAAAGGATACCTAGGGCTTAAAGCGGTTGCTGCACTTGGAAGGTCAACATTTTTGCTATGATTTAGTTATTACCTCTTTAGTTCTCAGTGACACGATTGGATTTTACATATCACCTTCCTTCCCTGCCCCCATAGAAAAACAGAGCCTTATTGTTCTTTCCTTTTGTTTCTATTCTAGTGCCTGTTTGTCTTTTTTGCTTGTTTTGTGTGAGATTGTGCTGCATCTTGATTATCTGGATTTTCTGTTGAAAATTCAATATTAGCCTAAATAAGTTCACACCTAAATTAATGTGATGTCATTGCTTACATCAATTTAGTTTTGATGTCATTGCTTACATCAATTTAGTTAGGTGAAAATTAAGTATTTTTCTCATGTTTTAATTTCAATGGTTTAGATTATTTAGTGCTTATTTTAATGAGTGGTTTAGATTGTTTCTTGTAACCTATAAATATCCTACTTGTATTTGAGTTTTATCATCCAACAATCAAAGCTTAATTATAAGCATTTGAAAGCTTTCTTAAGAGTTCTTCCCTTTTGCAATTTTGTGAGATTATTCTAAAGAGTTTTTTCTTCTTCTCGATCAATTAGAGTTTTTACTCTATTTTGATTCAACAATTGGTATCCGAGCCACGTTTTTAAGGTCTCTTGAAATTCTGAGTATGCTTTGTGGCTGCAGTTTTTAACTGATCTTCCACATCAGAAAATATTTCTTGAGTTATTGTCGGGGTTATTACAAACCTTGTGGAGCTTCTTTGTGTTTAGGGTAATTTAGTACTCTGTACGTTTGTTACTCAAGCTTGTTCGGTGTAGTCAAAGCCTTGCCGTTAAGATGGGTGATCTTCAAGTAGTTGGAGGGATCAAGAAGCTCAACAACAAAAACTACAACACGTGGGCAACATGTATAGAGTCATACTTACAAGGTCAAGACCTTTGGGAGGTTGTCGGCGGTGGTGAAGTTACACAACCGGCGACAGAAGATGCCAATGGAATCTTGCGAAAGTGGAAAATTAAAGCAGGCAAAGCAATGTTTGCTTTAAAGACCACAATTGAAGAAGAAATGTTGGAGCACATTCGGGATGCTAAAACACCAAAAGAAGCATGGGACACTTTTGTTACACTCTTTTCGAAGAGGAACGATACAAAATTGCAACTTCTCGAGAATGAACTTCTATCAATGGCGCAACGCGACATGGCGGTTGCCCAATACTTTCACAAGGTGAAGTCGATATGTCGCGAAATTTCAGAATTAGATCCGACAGCTGCTATTGGGGAAGCCAGGATAAAAAGAATAATTGTCCATGGTTTGAGACCCGAATATCGAGGGTTTGTTGCCGCTGTACAGGGATGGCCGACACAACCATCGCTTGTTGAGTTCGAAAATTTGCTTGCAGGTCAAGAAGCCATGACCAAGCAAATGGGAGGAGTCTCGCTGAAGGGTGAAGAGGAAGCGCTCTACACTAGCAAAAGCAGAGGCACTTTTCAGCGGTATACTGGCAGTGGATCTAAAAAGGATGGTGACAAAGTAAAAAATTACCAAGGAAAAGGAGGCCCTCATTCAGGGGGAGCATCCAAGAATCGCGGTAATAGTAGAAAGTTCGATGGCAAGTGTTATAACTGCGGGAAGATGGGTCACATGGCAAAAGACTGTT